TAACAATAAAGACTGCTTATGGGAACCATATATCCCAGTCATGGTGTGAGACATCAGCATGTCTCTTAATCAAACCATTGGTTTGTTCAATTATGCTGTTGACCTGAGGATAATATGATGTGTGTCTAGTTAACGGTGTCCCTGCTCCTGCAGGGGGGTTGGACTAGATGACCTCTAGGGGTCCCTTGTAACCCAAAACATTCTATGATTCTATGATATGAGGATAGCCAATGTCGATATGAGGATAGCCAATGTCGGTATGAGGATAGCCAAGGTCGGTATGAGGATAGCCAAGGTCGATGTGAGGATAGCCAAGGATGGGGAGCCGGCTGGTACCGGCTGTGTTGTTCCGACAGTGGAATAAGGGGGGTAGAAGCTGGAGTTCACCAAAAGGACAAGGTGAAGAAGAGGAGTGGATGAAGTAAACGACCCCGGAAGACCACCGACTCAAATCACTGAGCATGCACAGTCAGGAGGGACTTATGGAAATGACCTCTTGAAACTAATTTTAATACGAAGCGGGGACAGGTTATGCCTATGTATAGGTGCATTGGGAAACTTTATAGGTAACACTTTGCTACATATAAACAGGGCAAGCTGCTGTGTTGCGGTGCACACGACTTTGGTGGGACTCCCCGCCATGCTGCCCAGCGCTGAATAACCATACCTACTGTGCAATTGTATAGATTGGGGAGTCCGTTTTCCACACGTCATCCTTGTCAGCGGACCACTGGCAGGAATTCACCATGTGGAGCGGGCGGCCTGACCCCCAAGCCGCCATTTCTAGTTTTTTAACCCTTTCAGTTCCTCTGGCAGGGGCGCCAAGGGGTTAATGGTGCTGTCACGCGGAGGGGCGGTTACCCGCCTGTCTCCCTGATCCCAGGGTTTTCCCCGGATTCGGTGGGTGGATTGCCTGTGCAGCATCGACCGGGGCACGCTCAGCGCTAGCGCCTCTCACCAAAGGTCGTTCCTTCGATCCCATTTACCTCTGGTGGGTTCGGACGGGGGGGGGGGGCGGGGGGGACCGTCCGGGGCAAGGATTGCGACCAGTCCCGACGGGAACAGGAGGGTCCATCCCATCTCGCGCCTGTAAGTGATTGTAGTGTGTAATGTTGGGCTTGTTCAGTCTGGAGAAGGCTGCAGGGAGACCTGATTACGGCCTTTCAGTACCTAAAGGGGGCCCATAGGAAAGGTGGGGAAAATCTTTTTAGTCGGGCCAGCTGGGACAGGACAAGGGGGGATGGCTTTAAACTAAACCAGG